TGGGGCCGGTGTCACAGCCACTGGTTCCACAGGCAGCCAGGACTGTCCCCAGAGCTATCTGCTGGCCAGAAGCCTGCCTGGCTTACACATCCCAAAGTAACCCGTAACAGCTTTTATATTTGAACGAGAGCCTTCTTGTCTCTGGAGTCCTGCAGCACCGTGCTACCGCAGCCCCTGCCCAGCCCACAGGGCACTGCAGCCTGACACCAGCCTCTTTCTTACCTGTCCTCGCTTTATCCCGAAGTACCGGGCCACAGGATCCCCAGCCTGTATCCTCGGGAGCTGGTTCTCCCTCAGCTTACTGCACAGAGTCAAGGAGAAGCTTCACCGAGCACAACGAGCACGCGGCCCAGGTTCCCCCTTGTTCTGAGGCCAGGCACAGCTACCAGAAGCAAGCAATAAACCATCACAGTCAGATGCTTTCATTTGCGGCCCAAAGCAAGCACACATCGCACCCAGACAGGAAGGGAAGGAACAAACAAAGGATACTATCTGGCCAGCAGCTCGGTTACTTCTTCTTTTGTCATGACGACATGCTCTGGGACCAACTGTAAACAACACAAAAAAGAGATTGCAAGACCAGAAATTCTGAGAAAGCAGCCGTCTCCACACAGTGGCAGGACAAGCAACGTGCAGGAAGGAAGAGAACTACAGAGCCCGGCCTTCCAACCGATGGGGATGTCTCTCAGAGCAGCCTGAGCCTCAGCTCAGCATGAGACCGACCATCCCACTCGTGTTCCACTCCCCAGCACCGCTCACCTCATGTTCCGTGATGTTGATCAGAAGCTCCTGCTGCAGGAACTGCTCCAGGATGTACTTGGGAGCCATATCCACCAGGGACTGCGGAGGAAGAAGCAAGTCAGGCCGCAGCACTGCTCTGGGACAACCCCACCTGTGCTCGGACCAGCCAATTGTGAGCGTGGTATCACTGTCCTTGTGCTGGCACGGGTACAGATACCCGTACAGAGAGCAAACAGCACTCCTGGTATCTCTGTTTCTCCCACCAGCCCCTTGACTACTCATAGCCTGCCATTTGTTCTGCAGCCAGAACCAGCTGTTCTGTTTAAACACCTCAAGAACCTGTGTTAAGGCATGACTGCTTTCTGTGAAAGACTTGCTCTAGGTTGAAATTTGATGTTTTTGTTAACCTGAAGCAATACCAAAAACCAGAAACAAACCACCCCCGGGTCGTGATAGCCAAGCCACCAGGAGCGCCGCCTCGGTACCTGCTTGGCCGAGGGCGTCATGCCCTGCTGCACCACGATCAGCGCCCTGGTGATGTTCTCCTCCTGCATGCGCTGGCAGTACATCTTGATGGTCTTGATGCCGACCTTGGGCTCCTCTGCAGACAAACCCAGCCGCGGGGTTACAGCCAGGAACTTGCCCCCAACTCCCCGGCCCCTGCCCACCCCCGCCCGGCCCCGCAGCCCACCGGGGAAGAAGACAAACATCTGGTCCGTGGGGTCGTCGTTGTGCGCCACCAGCACCGTGAGGTCGGTGCGGCGCGGGCGGCCCTCGCTGGGGGTGTCACCGAACTGCGCCTTGAACTCCTCCAGCGTCTGGTCCAGCTCGTCCTGGGTCACCAGGTACCCGCGGTCGTGGCACAGCTGCGGGGGCGGTGGCAGCGGCGTGAGGCCGGGGGGCACGGCCTGGACCCCACAGACCCCGGCCCAGCCGCCCAGCCCCCCCCAGCTCCCCCAGCCCCCAGCCCCCAGCCCCCAGCCCCCAGCCCCCGGCCCCGGCCTCCCCCAGCCCCCCCCAGCCCCCCCCCAGGCCTTTGGCCTAGGCCCAGTCCCTGCCCCCCCCGACCCCCCCCACCCCCGATCCCGGCCCCCCGGGCCCCCCCAGCCTCCCCCGAGCCCCCCAGCCCAGCCCACCCCCCGGCCCCCCCAGCCCCACCTGCATGATGGTTTTGCGGATCTTCCACAGCCGGTAGGTCTCCTCATCGTCGTCCATCTTGCTGCTGCCTATGAGGCCCCCGGGCTGCCTCCCGCGACAGGCGGGGCTGCCCTAAAGAGGGGTCCTCAGCCGCGCGCGGGGGGTGCTGGGAGTTGTAGTCCGCCTCCCGAAGCCCCGCCCCCTCCGCCGTGCCACCTCGCTGTCCTATTGGTCAGCCGAGCTGTCCGTTTTGGGCCGGACCCTCCCGCGGGCGCTGAGTGGTGGAGAGGCGGCGGGGGGCGGGGCGGGGGGCGGGGCGCCATGGGCTGGGGTTGGGGCTGGGGCCGGGCGCTGCGGCGCGCGGCGGCGGCGGCGGCGGGAGCGGGACCGGGACGGAGCATGGTGAGGGGGGCGGGGGGGGCACGGCGGGGCCTGGCCGGGCCTAACGGGGCCCAGCGGGGCCGATCGGGGCTTAACGGGGCTGGTTGGGGCCCGTCGGGGCCGGGGCCGGTCGCTGACCCCGTGCCGCGGCCCCGCAGTGCGCCCAGGCGGAGGACTGGCGCTCGGCCAGGGCCATCTACGACTTCCACGCCCTGGACATCGACGGCAACGATGTGAGCCTGGAGCGGTACAGGTAGGGCGGCCTCACCCCCCCCGGGTGACCTCAACACCCCCCCGGGGCAGCCCCCACGACCCCCGCCCCACCCCCCCCCATCAGCCTCGCCCCCCGGCCCACGCCGCCCCCCCCCCCAATCCCGCAGGGGCTCCGTGTGCATCATCACCAACGTGGCCTCCAAATGAGGGAAAACCGCCGTGAACTACACTCAGCTGGTCGACCTGCACGCCCGCTACGCTGAGAGGGGTTTACGCATCCTGGGCTTCCCCTGCAACCAGTTCGGGAAGCAGGTACGGGGGATGGGGGGGGGGGACGGGGGGGGATGGGGGGGGCGTCCTCCTGACCTTGACCCGCCGGGGTTTGTGCCTGGAGTCGCCCGCCCCACTGAGAGCTTCGCTTCTTGTTTTGCTTCCTCAGGAGCCCGGGGACAACGCGCAGATTAAGGCATTTGCTGAGAACTACGGGGTGAAGTTCGACATGTTCAGCAAGATCGATGTCAACGGGGACGACGCCCACCCCCTGTGGAAGTGGATGAAGGAGCAGCCCAAGGGAAGGGGCACCCTGGGCAAGTGAGTGCGGGGAGGGAGCTGCGGAAAGCGGCCGGCCGCATGGCCGGGGGGGGCCTGGCTGCAGCGGGGAAGGTTTTTGTGCCTCACTCCTGTTTTTTTTCCTCTCCTAGTGCCATAAAGTGGAATTTCACTAAGGTAGGGTTGTGCTGCCTCCTCCTGAGCCACGCGTGGGTCACGTCCTTACCCGTGGGGGTGGTGAGGGGCGCTCAGAGCGCTGCAGGGAGCGGGGTCCTTGTGTCCCAGCCCGAATCTGGGATGCGGGCGTGGGAGTGCCCCAAGGACACAGATCCCCATTGCCCGGCCGCTCCGCCACCCCCCATAGCTGCAGCGCCTGGGTCAGGGCCAGACTCACACGTTTGGGTTCTGCTTTGCTCCCACAGTTCCTCATCAACCGGGAGGGCCAAGTGGTGAAGAGATACAGCCCCATGGAGGATCCCTACGTAAGTGCTGCCCGCACGGTCGGTGTTTGGGCTCTGCCTGCCCCATGGCACCCAGCACTACGGGTTCCAGGCAGGGCACGGGGGGCTTCTGGCATGTTCAGGGGGCAGCGACGCTCTCGCTGCGATGCTTCCTTCTTTCTCACAGGTCATCGAGAAGGACCTGCCCTCCTACCTGTAGACCTGCTCATCTCGCCTGCACTGTCTCGTGTGCCCAGCACTGGCCCTCCTGCTCCCTGGGGATTCTTCTCACCCAGCACGAATGACGGTCTGTCTTCAAGCCAGCTTGCTGGTGAGGCAAACCTGAAGATTTGGCGTGCACCTGCTGGAAGAAGGCTTCACAGGGCCAGTGGCCTCTGCTGGGCAACCCCTTTCCTGTAGGCACAAAACAGCACCTGATGTCCCCTTGCAATAAACATGCTAGAAATGAGTGGTTGTGTGCGTGTCTGTGTGCGGGGCGGTGGGGCTGGAGCTGCTACGCTGCTCCCCTGCACGTCCAGGACTAAGACCTTACACAACTCCTGCGCCAGCTCACCAGAGCCCGGCAGGGATAATCCTCATTAGTGCTGACAAGGGAATTAATTACACACAAAGCCTGGGTCAGCAGGAGCCCTGAGGGGCTCACACAAGAAAAGCCAAAGCAGGGAGGAGCGTGGCTGTGGGGAGCCCCTGTGGGGATCTGTCCCCGCTGCCTGCACCTGGGTGGAATCGCTGCACCACAAACCACGGGGCAGCTCCCAAAAGGGGAAAGATTTCTCTGCTAAAGCAAGAAGGAGCTGGAGTGGGCTCGAGGCAAGAGTCCGGGCGTGCAGCAGCATCCCAGTGACCCCAATACCAAAGCGCCCAGTTCAGTGGCGCAAGATCCACGCAGACACAATTACTGCGAAACAAAACCCGGTCCTGTCGGGACGTGGTGAAATCCCACGCGGTGAAATCCCACATGTAGTTGGGGATAGGGCTGCGGGGCAAAGCCCTGCCTTGTGTGACACAAGGGGAAGGTGGGGAGCAGAGTGGGGTGAGCCCTGGGGTCCCCCACATGAAATGGGGCCACGAGGAGGCTGGGGGGGCTCCTATTTACCACCCACCCCCAGTCAGGAGCTGCCCCCCAGCCCCGCGGGGCCCTGCCAGAGCCTTGCAGCAGCAACGCCCAGCCGCAGGTTGCGCAAGGTGAGGCAGGAGTTGCTGCCGGGTGCTGAGCCCGCTGGCCCCTCGCTGTCTGGGGTAAAGATCAGGAGCAGCGCTGCCAGGCAGAGCTGTCGCAGCAGCTCGTGGCCGAACAAGGGCTCCTTTATCAGCGTTTTGCACAGCACAGCTGGGGGAGAAGGCAAACGGCCTCTGAGTCAGAGGCCAGCCTCCAGGCTGGCTCAGGGAGGATCCCTCCAAGGCCCCAGGGGGAAGGGGGAGAGGGGGAGGCTCGGGGCAGCGTCCTCGGTGCCGCCGGTTTGGGGCCACGGGGGCAAGGCGTGGGGACAGACGGACGGACAGACAGAGAGCTGGCACTTCCAGAAACCGCCGTAACGTGGCTTCGCTTTCCATTTTTACTGAGCAGAATGAAAAAACGATCCTTCCGAAGCAAGTAGAAAATTCAGGAATTATTAGTCGAAGGCACATATTCTAAAAAAATCTCTTTACATATATACATCTCAATTAATTATAAATACACATAGAAAAACAAAGGCAAACAACAAGCGGATTAAAAAGTGCTAACAAAAAGGTGTAAGGGAAGGAGAAAAGGGACTCATTTAAAAATACATACAATCAGTAGGACGACTGCATAATAATTTAGTTAAAAGATATCGTTACATATTATTAACCCTGACAAAAACACAGGATCGGGGCGGGGAAGGACTTCCTTGAAGGTGCTCTGTCTCTCCAGAAATCAGGGAGGGAAAATTGCATATATTTCAAAACCATCCGTGAGAGCCACCGGGTCAGCCTCGGGGCCGTGGTGGCGAAGGGGCTGGCGGAGGGTGCCTGGAGCGAGAACCCCTCGTGGCGATTCCTGAGTTGAAGCCTCTCTGAACTGGGTTTCCTCGGCAGCCCTTCCCCTCGGCGCCGAGGATTCAGCAAGCGCCAAGCGAGCGAACCGGGACATGTGTTGTGAATCAGGAAATATCTTAAATAGAGGCTGGGGAAGGGGAGAGCCCTGCCCTTGCTCTGCTCAGGACTCGAACAGGCTGCTGCTCACCCTGAGACGCAGCAGCTCCCGGGGCAGCAGCCGGGGGCTCCCCTCTTTGGTGCGGGCTGTGAGGTAAGGAGGTTCCCTCGCACGGTAAAACAGCGGGGCGAAGCGCTGCTGGGAGGCGATGGCAGCTGGGGGAAGGAGAAGCCCCCACACGAAGGGCAGGGAGCGGTCTCACAGCTCCTGCCCCCAGTGACCTGAAGCAAACGGGGTGCCTGGATGGTCCTGCAGCCAGGGGGGTCGCAGCTCCCTGCCTGGGCGAGGGGCTCATCCAGGCACACGGAGCTCCAGCCCCATCATGACTTACCCTGTACTGGGCAGGGGGACCCTGGCAGAGGCCTCTCCGGGCTGGGCCTCCCTCCCCAGGTCCTCGCTGAGGAAGGGCCGGGCCAGCTGGGGAAGGTCTCGCTCTCGCGTCCTTCCCCTGGAAGCGCCCTGGTGCAGCTCCCAGGAACACCTCGGTGACTCGAGGCAGAGAAAAACCCGGCAGCAGCACTCCTGCCAGCAAGGCAGCTTCCCAGCAGGCTCCTTAGGTTAGGCAGAGAAAACAAAAGAATTTCCCCGGGACCCGCCGAGGCGCGATGCTGCTGGGGCAGGGGTGGTGGCAGAGGAGGCCGGAGGCGACCTCTGTCCCGGGGGGAAGGCAGCGGGCCCGGCCCCGCCGGCCGGGTGCTGCGGGAGAGGCAGGCGGGCTGCCTGGGGCAGTGCTTTGCAAAGCAGACCTTTGCTCTTTGGTATCAGAGGTTGGGTTTGCAGCATGAGCAGCGATACCGCGCGGCCCTGGTGCTCCCCAGGGAAATCTTCCCTTTGGGGCCGGGCAGCGGCGCTCACTGGGACCAGCAGGGCCCGGGCAGGGGGAGCTGGCTGGGTACAGGGACAGGGCACGGCAGCGAGAAGCTGGGAGAAGCGCAGCCAGGATGAAGTGTGGGCTGGCCAGGGGCTGCAGGCTCTGGGCAATCCCCACGGGGTCCCGGTGCAGCCAAGCTCCGACTGACTCAGCAGCTCTGTCGGGATGCTGAAAGCTCTGTCGGGATGCTGACAAACGAGGCAGCACCAGAGGGCCAGCTCCTGCCCCCTCCTGCAGCGCTCAGGCAGCCCGGAGGCGCCAGCATCTGCCATCCCTGGGGAGGGCAGAGCAGGAGCAGGCAGCTCTGCTTCCCTCTGCGCCTGCTCAGCCCTGCACAGAGGGACGGGATCTCCGTGGATCCTGACCCTGCTGGGCCAGCACCACCTTCCCTTCAGCCCACAGCACCGCAGGGCTGCTGGAAGAGCTGGCACCAGCCGAGGCAGGTCAGCCAGCAGTCAGCCAGAGGTCTCCAGCTCTGTTGGAGCCGACGTGCTCCTGCCCAGCTCAAGGGGGGGCAGTGGCTGCAGAGCTCAGGGCTGGAGGGCTGGGGAAGGCTCGGCCCGGCTTGGAAACTCAGTAGTCTGCAGGGGGGTGGGCAGCGAGGAGGGGGAGCCTCCCCTCAGTCCTGCACGGCTCTGACCTTGGAGCAGGACCCGGACACAGCAGATCAGTCCAGATCAGCTGAACCTGGCAGCACTCGACTCCCCCAAGCGTGTTATATACAAATCTATACATGCCTGACTGTATATTATATATAAATAAACTTTGCTTTATAGGATTTTTGTTTTCTTCCCTCAAAACCAGAAACGGATCAGTCCAAACCAGTAGGAGAGCCAGGGCTCCCCAGCTCTCATCTCTGCACCAAAGGATATGGATCCACAGCGGCTGGGCAGCGCCTGGCGCACCCGGCAGGCTCTCAGAAGTCTGGGAAGGGCCCGCTGAACTGGATCACGCTCTGGCGCTCCTGGGGGAGCATGTTGTCTTGGGGGGCCCCATTTAACGTCCTCAGCATGTCCTCCAGGATCTCTCTGAAATTGATATTCCCGTCCTGCTGGACAAAATCTTCCTGCTGCTGCTGCTGCTGCAGTGTCTGCAAGGGTCCGGGGTGAGGCAGAGGCAGATGTTCATGCAGCGAGGAGCTCAGGGGCACGCTCCCCTCCAGGACGGGGTCGGGGCTCTTGAAGGCAGAAAGGTGGCTGAAGCCAAAGGGCAATCCGTGCTGCTGGTGGGGCTGGAGCACAGGCTCCGAGGGGAAGCACAGAGCGCCGGGCTCTGGGTTCATCACCACGTCGGGAATGCTGTTGCTGGGAGGGCTGTAGGTCAGGTCCAGGATCTCGTCCTGGCGCAGGGAGTGCCTGGGCAGGGGGACCCCGGCCCCGCTCTGCGTGAGGTCCAGGGGCTGCTGCAGGACGTGCAGCGGCAGGGAGAACTGCGGGCTCTGCTCCTGTGCCTGGAGGAGGCGGTTGTGCTTCCTCTTCACGTTCTCGTCCATCTGCTTCAGCTCCTCCAGCACCTTACGGACACAGCTCTCTGGGATCTTTATCCCTAGGGGAGGAACGCGCGTCAGTGCCTCAGCTGCCCCCAGCTTCCAGGCTGGGACACGGCCCTGTTCCACAGGGGAACCTTGGCGCTGGGCAGCTGGGCCCCTTCCCCTTTCTGTAAGCTCCTGTCCCCGCTCCCTTCCCCTCACACTTCACCCACCGACTTGTTTCTTCTTCTCCTTGGTCTTGAGGCGGACGATCTGCAGGTAGCTGGTGTTGGTGATGTCTGCCATGATGCTGGCAATCTTGCTCCAGACCCGCAGCAGGGCCCCGCACAGCATGTAGTAGTGACGCAGCCGCATGCCCTGGAAGCACTCCTTCCCCTCCTGGATCAGCTTGCAGCTCCTGTTCCTTCAGTCCAAAGGGGAGAAATCAATCTGAATCAGCACGGCAGAGCACTGCCCTCCCCGGCGTGGCCCTTCCTTGCAGCCACAGCCCGGAGCCCATCCCCAGCACCCACGGGTGCAGGACGGGCCTCTGGCTCTGGGAAGGTTTGGGCTGCACATCCCTTACCAGACAGCGTGGTTGCACTTCTTCAAGGAGAATTGGTAACAGCTCTCCCAGTGTTCCTTGGCCTCCTCGGGCAGCACCTGCAGCAGGAAGAGCCAGTTAGAGACAGGGGCTGGGATTTTCCTCTGTCCAACACCCAGCTCACACTTCAAATGCAGGGCTTGGCATCAGGACACCCAGACGCTACCACCACAGCTCTGCCTGACCCCCAGCGGGGCTACGAGGAGTCCTAAAAGGCTTCTGGTAAGGCTTCCCCTGCCCAGAGGAAGGTGCTCGTCTCCCACCTACCCGTCGGTACTTCTTGTGCAGACTGTCCAGGCTCTCGGGCTGGCTCTGCTTCCCAATATTGGGCTTGTAGAGGATGAAGTTCTTGCCACGGCTCTGCTCTGCCAGCAGGCAGGTGTGCTTGCTGCCCCGCGTCTGTGGGGGTAGAGCTGATGGTTACAGTCACGGCCTCTCTCCCCCAACGCCCCTCCACATTGGAGGTTCTTGGAGGCATCTCCCAGCCCCCAGCACGAGGTCAGGCAGACCGAGGGCCTCTGACAGCCACAGATCTTCTCCAAGGAGCCACCTCTGAGCCCAGGGACCTACCTTGTAGGAGAGGTAGAACCCATCAAAGGATCCCGTCAGTTTGAGCGACTTCTCATAAGCTTCCTCCCACTTTAGGCCCCTGTCGACGCTGATCTAAATGGGGACAAACAGGGGTTCTGTAAGTTCAGAGCGCAGGACAAGCCCACCGATGTCTGTCTCACAAATCACACCCTCAGCACAGACTCGGTGCTGCCTGGAGGCAGGCTCTGTGCCAGGCTGCACTCCGCGGCACGGCAGCCCCGTGGGAGCAGGGCAGGGCCTCTCTTTGCTTCCTCTGTGCAGTTCCCAGCCTCAGCGACCAGCTCATGACCAGGGCAAACGTGACACAAACGTGACACACAGCCACGAGGCAGGGACCCGGCAGCTCACAGCCCCGGCCTGGGAAGCGCTGCAGATCAAACTGCAGCGATAGCTGCGCAGGCTGCCTACCTTATAAAACACGACCTGCCCATCCTGCGGGTGCCCAGGGGTCAGGAAGACCTCCTTGCTCTCCTCGTAGATCTCATCCACTCCTGGGGCTAAATCTGTAACATGAGGAAAGACCAAAACACATGTAAGAACTAATTTCCAATCTTTTCTGCCTGCACAGGGGTGGCAGGAGCTGTGCTAAGTGGGGCTGGGACACTGAAGCACCTGCAAGGCCACGGGGACAGCGCATGCTGCAACAGCCAGTGGTCAGTGCAGGGAGGAGCAGGGAACCGCAGGGCACAGCAGGAAGAGGTACGATCACCCCTTTCTCCTTACCTAGGATGCCCATGTCGTATTTGCCCTCCTTCTTGTCCTTTTCAATCAGATAGTCAAAGGTATCAGAGAAATACTGGAACAGCATGTTCTGCTTGTCCACCTCCAGCCCCAGGATCCGGTTCAGGAACTTGGTGATGGAGCAGTCTGCAAGAGCACGGCGGGTCAGGGGAGACTGACCAGCACGCTCCCAAAGACACCCAACGAGCAAAGCCCCGACCCTTCCTGGTGGCAGCACAGCACCAAGGCACAGGAGAGCACCCGAAGGGCTGTTCCTCCAGGCTGTCAGCTGCCAGGCCACAGCAGGGAGATGTGCTCTGCAGCGTGAGCTGATCCCCACAGGACTCTACCCTCACGGCAGCAGTGCCTTGTTCTGCCCCAGCTGCACAGCAAACCCCTCGAGGCTGTGCCCCAACACCTCTTCCTCCTTCATTTCCCCCTTACATTGGGCAGGGAACGTTTGACACGTACCCTTCTCCATCGGGACAGTGCCATACTTCATCTGATTGCAGCAGATGCCCACAGAGATGAGACCTTGCTTCATTTCTGGAAAAAAACAGAAAGCAGCCTAAGTATTTCAGTGTCCCCAGCAGTCCTGCAGGGCTGCTTCCCCTCCTGCTGTGCCCGTTATTTCACAGCTAAGTCTGTCCCATGCCCGTTTTCCCCTTTGCCTGGCACGGTGGCCAATTGCCCTGCTCACCAGCGAGCTGCTCCCTCCCTCTGAGCTTCGTCAAGTGTCCCAACCCTGAGACCAACCCAGCCAGCAAGAGAGCAGAAAACCCAGAGCTGGTGAAGTTCTTACCATGGAAAAACACAGCCTCTCTTCTGTCGTAACTCTTAGGCACAGGAACTTTGTTCTCCGTGCGGTTGAGGATAGTGGAAAGGACTCTGTCCAGTGCTTTAGCCCCATACTGTGAAAGGAGATGAGAGTCACGCACGAGAGGAACCCCACACCGGCAGCCCAGCAGCGGGCTGGCTCTGCACAGCAACCCCACTGACCCAAGGGCTGTGCCAAGGGGACCACCAGAGTGCAGGAGCCCTCCCCCAGCGCTGCCAGCAGCTCCCTCGGGGCAGGGGCTGGTCACCCCAGTGCCCTTCCAGCTCCCCAGAAGGGTCCAACCCCCAGGATGTGCACACTGAGCTGGTCACTAACAGCCCTGGGTGCTGTACCCCGGGCTGCACGCTGCTGGGTGCTGCTGCTGCTAGGCTGAGTCCTGCCTGTAGATGCCAGCAGCGATCTTCCCATCCCTGGCTGCTACCGAAGGCACTCGCCAACTGCTTCGGCCCCTCTTTGGCTGAGCTACCCCGAAAACAGCCGCGAGTTACCTTATTCTCGAAGTTGTACTTGCTGAGGTCTCGGGATTCGGTGGCCCTTCGGTCTCCATGAGTTAAGGCACCCTGGGAAGACAAACAAAGCACAAAGTTCTTAATTTTAGCTGATGCAAAACACCTGGGAAGGATGGCCCAAGTCAGTCAGCCTCAGAAGAGGTCAGGACACGAATGTGCTGTGGGCAGGCAGAGGTTGTCTAGAATACTGAGACTTTACCGAAGTATTTGGGGATTTATCAGAAGGGAATTAAAATGAAACAGACTAATTAGTTATTCCATTAATTATTCCATTGGCTTTCCGGAAATTCATGGGTGTACACTCCTGTAATAGTGTGGGGGGAATTCCAACATCTGGAATTGGGTTCTGCTTCCCCGAAAAGCCTCCTGTTCCCTTGGTTACATATTCTTCACTTCCCTTCCCAAATCCCAGGACGTTAAAGGCCTTCTGCATTCCACCACGGCAATGCCTTCAGTCAGGGGGTGATGCAATCCCTCCTACTAGTTACATGGGCCATGCCAGCAGAAACACCAAAATGGAAGCCCTTCGGAAAGACCTGGAGCTGGCGCATTAACCTCTCCCACACAGGGCACTTACTAGACTCTCCAGACGCTTTGCCACGATGGATGCAAACCTCCTCTCCCCAGCCAGCTCAGAGATAAGGAAGACATACTCTGGAGCATAAACCTGGTTCGATCGGTGCGTTCGACCTACAGGGACGTGAGAAGTGAAGGGAGAGGTTGGCACCTCCTGCCTGGTACGGGAAGAGGAGCTGCGTAGGCCAGCTATCCTACAGGACGGAACAGAAACCCCCAGGCATCCCCTGCCTCGGGAGCCTGTGTGTGACCTTCCTTTCCAGGGCTGCCCTCCGCAAGAACCCCCAGCACTCACCGAACTGCTGGATGGCCCGGTCTGCGCTCCAGGGCAACTCCAGCGTCATGTGCACCCGGCGCTTCTGGTTTTTCACCCGTCTGTCTGCTTGGAGAGAGATACCTGAGCTGGAAGCCTCGGAGATTATTGCTACAAGCTAAGGGAGAGAAACAACACGTGAGAAGGGGCCGTGAGGCTCCTGGATATTCACAAAACAGTTACAGGGAGCAGCCAAAAGGCAGCAGCAGCCCTTGAAGGGACTTAGGCCTCTTGTCACACTCCAGCAGGTCAGGCACAGACACACAGATGCAGAGCCTAAGGGTCACTAGGCAAGGCAAAAGCACGCACACACACCCTCCCTTTCCCTTCCCCTCTCCATGCACTCACTCCCATGCAGACGTTTGGAGGTTTCCCTGGCTCAAGCCCCGCTCACCTTCTCCCCGTTCATGAAACGCTCCTTCTCCTTCAGGTTGACGTGGTCGATAGAGAGGCCCTGCTCTGCACGAGACTCGAACATGACCGAGCCGTCCGGCCTGCAAACCACTCGGCCCTTCCGCCCCGTCATCTGCAGGTGCCACACAGAGAGAGGGGCTGTTAGCAGGGAGGATAAACCTGTACGGTGTTTAGGAGGTCAATTCCCAACAGCTTTTGCAGATGGCAAGGAAGGAGAGGAAGCCCTCTTCAAGCAGGAGCTCCCTTTGCTGGTCCCTCTTCCCATCACCCAGTGCCACTGAAATATCCTCTTGACTGGGGAGGATTACCTCAGCCACGTGCTCCGGGCCCCCGAAGTGATTGATGAGTTCATCCAAGGTATTGAGAGGTAGCTCTTTGCCCAGTGCTTTTACTTTTGCTAGGAGGTCCTGCTTCATCTTTTCCACGTGTTCTAGTTCTCTCAGGCCATGCATCTCTTTCTGGGAAGGCAGCATGTGAAAATTACCTGCAGGAAAAGGCAAAATTTTAAAGCCACCTGGTAAATGCAAATAATCAGAGAGAAAAAAAGTCCCAAAGAGCTTTTGGGCAAAATATCTGACGTGCAGGTGAAGACACCTTGCCTTGCAATAAAAGCTGCTGAGCACGTAGTAAATTCCCTCTCTGCTTCTCCCTGTTTTACTGGGGGAAGGAGCCTGCAGGGCAAACTCTCCCTGCTCGAATCCACCTCACGAGCCCAAGTTTGACCTTCCCAGGGTAAAACCTAGCCAGGACAGTAAGGTTGTCCCAGGCACGGGAGGAGCTTTGCCATTCCAAGCAGACACCAAGGAGGTGGTCGCACCTCAGCTCCCGGACACTGCCACCCCCCAGCCAGACCCCAGACGGGTTACACGTTATCTGCGGCCGTGCTGCTGGCAGGGCAGGGGGTGGCTGGCTGCCTCCGGCTGCATTCCTGTGCGCCAGGTGCCAGGAGCTCAGGAATGAAGCGACTCCGGTTCCCAGCTCCCGGCAGCAGGGAGGGAGCCAGCCCTGATCACTTACTTCTGTCCTCGGCTGTGAAGCCGTTGTAGGTGTGCTCCACGAAGATGACATCGTCCGTCTCGAACACGGACTCCGGGGAGGAGTTGAAGTCGCTGTCCAGGCCCATGTCGGAGTCCGTGCTGCTGTCGTCGCTGATCTTGATCACCCCCGCGGGGTCACACATGCCCTTCAGCGCCTTGGCGCAGCGGCCCCTCATCTTGCCTGCGGGGGAGAGCGAGCGGTGTCAGGGCACAGCCCCGGCCTCGGGCACCGATGCAGAACAGCAAGAGCCAGCTCAGGAAGAAGAGGAGGAGAAACCACGGAATAGCTGAGGCTGCCCCCAGTGAAAGGTTGACCTCGGAGAGGCAACGCTTCTTGGGCAGGGGAGGACAGCCAGGAAGGGAGGGAGAGACGGGAAGGAGAGAAAGGAAGAGAGAGAAAGGAAGAACAAGGCAACTCGTATCAGGGCTGAAGCTGGCTGCACACGTCAGGATGAGCACACGGCCGGCCCCGAGCAGTGCTAACCCCTCGGGGAAGGGGCCTGCAGGCCCGGCTGCCCCCAGAGGAATGAGCAGGCAGCGGGGAGGCACTGGCGTTTGGTGTTTGTAGATGGGGTGCCGTTTACCTCCAAGCACAGCCAGACATGCCCCTGCCACGTGAGAGGGGTCACAGAAATCAGCTTGCACAGGCTGCTCTGCAGCAGCGACCAGCCAGGACAACCTCAACCTGCCTGCGCTGCCATCCACCCCTCCCCATCCCAAACTGCTCTTACCTGCAACCACAGCCAAAGCTCTGGCAGGGAAGTGATTTTTTTTTTTTTCCCCAGGACACTGCCACGCTGTACGTAAGGAGTAGTGGAGAACCCCCCCGTGCTGCAAGAGGGCTTCAAACGTGCAGCCAGAGCTCCTGTGCAATCCGCCCCCCAGCCTAGGTAAGGAAGCAGCTACGGGGCAAGAGGTGGAGGCTCAGATCTACGCTGGCGACAGGGAAGTGGGTGAGGAGGAGGAGAGGGTGGGGGACCTACAGAGCTGCTGCCCTCCGGAGGAGAGGCAGTGACGGGAGATGTGCGGGGGGCAAACTGAAACCAGGGCAGAGTAGCAAATGCATGAGGTAGGGAAAAGGGAAAAAGGAAAAGAAAAAGCTGAGTGGCTGGGGTGAAGCAGCAAGGCAGGAAGTCAGATGCTGGGCAGTGGAGTGTGCTCTTACGTTTTCTTTTAATGCCAGTTCCTTTTTCTCTCTTTCTTTTGGTTGAAGGAAAGTGCTTCTGAATTAGTGATAGAAAGACGCCTCTGAAAGTAAGATGCAAAATTTATTCTAGCTACCAGGAACATCCGCTGGTTATCACGTAGCAATGTGTATTTGAGACAGCAGCACATTTCAAGGAAGGGGGCAAACCCAGCACCACAACTGCGAGCACGTGGTCAGCCAGCCACTGGTACGCTCCAGGAGAGCGGGGACTCAAACTCAGAGCTTTTCACCAAAGGCTTCTGCTGGAGACACACGAATCAGCCACAGGAACGAGGTCTGAGCTGGCAGACCCTCAGCTGCGGAGCTGGCACAGCGAGGATGTGGCTGGGAGAACGGGGCTCTGCCGCGGGCTCCCTGCTGCACTCGGGAGATGCTGTGACAAAAGCAGGGTCTGGGCTCCATGCTACCATGCCCGAGTTGCAAGACCTTTATATAGCAACTGAGAGGGGATTTTAAACGGGAAACGCTATGCTGGGAAGCTGTTACATCACTGATGAAAAATCCAGCCAGTCCCAGTCCATGGTCTGACAGCAGAGACAGCTGCCAGGCTGTCCAAAAAATGTGCTCCAAGTCCTTCGGTTAACGGGGCATGGGCCCGCTTGGCCACAAAAGAGAAAGGTGACAAAACATGGGATACGTGATGGTTCCAGGTGAATGGGAAAATCAGAAGAGGTGGAAATGAAATGTTTCTGTGGGCTGTTCTGCAAACAAAAGAGCAAACGCTTAATGCTGATCGTGTTGGACGGGGATGAGCCCCTGGTGCAATGAGAAGGCAGTGCTGGATGAGCTCTGGTTGGAAAAAAAAATTGTTGAAAGCAACAACTGAGAGGTATGGACATGGTAACTCGCCCATGGGACAAAGAGGGAGCCTTGGGAACCAGGGAGGGGACTCTAAGACCCTTGGTGAGAGGGGCTGAAGGAGACAGAGTCGGCAGCACTCCCTGATGGGGCAGAGCTCGGGGCTGGCTGCGGAGCGATGGCAACGACACGGCACCAGAAGGGCCCTTCTGTCCCCTGTGCTGCCGTGACCTGGGCACAAAATGCGAAAACTCTCAGGTCTGGAGCCTCCCTGCCATGAAACCTCGCTCTTTTTCCTGTCACTCCCCACCTTCCCTGCACACGGAGGGCAGGGCTGGCACGCACTCACTGCAGCACCAGCTCTACCCCTGCTTCTCGGTGTCTTTTAAACAACTGCTGCTTCCCAGCACGCCCCCCTCGAGAAATCCCCCGAAATGCCGTAAAACCAGGCCACTGCAATGGGAGGCTCAGCTGATGCCAGAAGGCACAGAGTTATCCAGCCAATGCTGCTGGGGAGAGCTTTTCCCTCTGAGCTGGGGACAGAGCTGAGCAGTGTGTGAGCGGGGATGGAGCTTTCCTCTTCCAAAAGCTGAGAGGCCCCAAGGGACCACGGGGACCTCCAGATTGAGTTCCTCTGAATTCTGCGAGGCAGAAACCAGTTCAGGAGACCAAATCAATCCCAGCAGTTGTCAGATTTGTCTTGCACGCTGTCACCAACCCCTAGTTGTTTTTCAGGAGTGGACTGGGCACAGAGTGACGGACACGGGCCAGCACAAAACCTCCCATCAATAGGGGAGGGAGATGGGCCTGGACTGGACACACGCTGTCTCGGGCATCTCTCAGCGCTTTCACTGGCATTAAAACTCATTTCAAATGACAGTAACAGCCCCGCTGCCTGCAGAGGGAACAGCTCAATCCAACACCCCAGTTTTTCATCACCCGCTGTGCAGGAGCAGCCCAGGACGGGCTGGCGTTCTGGAAGGTGCCAAAATGAGGAGAGTGATCCTCACGAGTCCTGCTGCTGGCTGCACTTGGGGCACAGCCAGCTCCCCCTCCAGCTAGGGAGGAGCTGCAGAACCCCACCAGAACCACGCGTCCTGCCTTGTTCTTGTCCTGAAAGCCAGGCCCGGAGAACCTGAACTCCCTGAGCCTCTCCTGAGCTCCCTGAGCTGCTCCAGCCACGCAGCTTTCCACTACCCCAGCCTCTGTCACGACACGAGATTCCCTCTCTGGTTTCTTCAGTGTCAACAGCCCTATTTTCCAGGGTCAGACCCACACGAACTGCACCTGAGCTCACGTTTCTGGCTCTCCTACACCTGTCGGTTCCTTGCTGTGTGCAGTCACACCAGGCTGCTCATGCAGGTTTGGACCACAGGAGGTTCCAAAAATCCAGGACCTAGCTCAAAGTGACACTAAAGAAATGGGGCCTCGAGGACACAACAAAGCACTCTCTCTATTTACAGCCTGCATAGGGTGAGGCTTTTATGAAACTGCCTTTGTGGAACTTCAAGTTCTAAGTGGCCCCAGGGCAGGGCTTTCCCTAGCGTGCCTCCAGCCTCCCATGCGTCCCCTCCAGAGGAAAAAAACCAAGGATTTTAACTCACTCTGCAGCAGAAACGAAACAATTCAGGTGCCCGTCGTTCTCGTCCAGGACTTCTCTGGTGCGAGCCTCCCCAGTGGACTGCAGGCCGATGACGATACACTGCGGGGAGACACAAGGGGTGGCACCACGGGCTCAGGGGACTGCTTCCAACAGTCCCGGGTACATCTTCCTTGCACCCTGCCCCTGACGGATGTAAGGACAGGGCTGTGCTAAAGGTACAAGGCCTGGGACCTCTCCTAGCTTGAACATGACCCAAAGCACTGTTTGAAGTCAGCCTGCCCGCATCTACCACAGACAAGCAGTGGGTAATGCCTCAGAGGAGGAGGTCACGTTAACTCCCTGGTGTAATTTACTCTAAGTGTTCTCAGAAACCCAGACACTGCACTTCATTCTGGTTGATCTGGAGAGAAAGTCAGCCTTAAAGAGATCTGAGATTGCCTTCAAGTAAACCTGACCGATAATTAATTCTCTTTGGTTGGAGACTACAACAATACTGCAGCCAGCCCCTAATACCACACCTTATCCTTTGCCAGCTCCTCCTTGGCAAGCTCCACGAGTCGCCGGACTTTAGCAGCAATGCAGAGGTACTTGAAGAAGCGCTGGTGAGCTGACCAGAACTGACCCCACAAGGATTTCCGAGACTCCAGGCCGATCCAGTCGGCTGCCTGCTGGAACACCATCAAGGCCTCTGCCCACTGCAGACAGTACCGAGAAAGGCTGAGTTAATATCTCGTTTTTTCTTTTTCATTACTGCTGTGCATGCAGTTATTAGAACAGTCTGAGGTTTGATAATCTGATTTAACATTGATGTTGATGCCGCCACGTCAGGCTGAACGCAGTCTGCTCGTTCTCCCCTTTCTGCATTAGCACGATGTTGCAAGCCCAGGTTTATGAGCACAGAACTTTTAAACAGAAGCAAAAAAGGCAAAAGGCTTTTTTTTTTTTTTAATGTAAACTGAGCATATGCACCCCTTTTCTTATCAAAAACCCTAAGTTGGTGGTGATGGCCATGTTCAGGGACCTCAAAGCCTCCCACAAAACAAGTGGCAATGTCTAGAGCACGATTAAACACCCGTCTCCCCTGCTGCAGTGGGCCCAGCTCACCAACTTTGCTGCTTTGTCGTAGACAATCTTGTACTGCTGATCCAGCGGGATCTCCTCGATTCTGAAGGTCACCCCAGTGAAACTGAGCTGCCTGGCAATGTACATTCCACTGACCTTCATGTCCATCGCCACGATCTCCATTGCACCGACTCCCCTGGGAGAGGAAGGCAGCTGTGAGACACCTTCAGGCATTTCTCCTGGCTCAAGCTGCCCTCACACATGCACGTGGCAGGCACTGAGCCCATTTCTTAAAGGGACAAATAACTCCTCCAGCTGTCCTGTAATTTGGCTTTCTCTAGAAACTGAGAGGACAGTGCCCAGCTAGAAGGCCCACCGACCCACACTGCTCTTCTCGCTGCTCCTTGAGTGGAAGGGCAGCGTGACAAACGGTCTCTGCCCCTCCTCTGAAAATGCCCTGGCTGCCTCTCCTGCTCTTTAAAGGCTGCCCCTGTACATGTACAGGGTGTTCATCCATGAGACTGCTGGGATGGCTTGGACTTTTTGTTTCTTCATGAGCAAACAGGAACCCAACCAACCCTATTGATTGGTTCTCTGGCCAGCATTTCTCTTTCTGAGCCAAACAAAGGCTGCCACAAAATATAAGCCAGATGGAAAGGGATGCTGGACGTGTCTTACCTCTTTTCAATTGCATGCAGGAACTCATCAAATGCTCTGAATGGGGTGCCCTCCCCCCAAATCCCCAGGCGGCTCATGTAAATCATGTTTTTTGGCTCAGAGGCACCTGTTTGAACAGAATTCACTGTTAGCAAAACCACAGCAGTTGTAGATGGCTCTAGCAGTTATGACTCTAGCAAAGCGAACTCTTCAAAGGATGATCATCTGCCGTCAGGGCACCAGTAGGCCCTGGGCCTTTCCAAACACTGCCCTCCATACACTAACCGGGGTCAGGTAACACCATACGGCTGAAAAGCTGGCTGGGAACAGGTTAAACTGAAGAAAAATTAGCCTGACTTCCCAAAAAGTCACAAGTAATGGCAGAAAAAGTCACAAGTAACAGCAGTGGCAGAAGTCAGCACCCTAGCTCCCCTCCAGCACTGCAGTACCGTTCTCCTCCTTGCACGCCCTTGCCAAACGTGTGCTCTCCGTGTACGTGCTCACATCCCAAGGGCATCCTTCAGAGCACACCGGTGACTGGCACCAGTTTACACCCGGTGCCCACGCCATGCTGAGAAGCTCACCTGTGGCACTGGCGTAAACAACCCTTGCTTGAGGCAGTTTGTTCTGGAGGTCCAGCACTGCTTTGCCCATTTTAGTAGAGCTGGCGTTTTTGGCTTTGTGGCATTCATCAAACACAATCTGCAAGGTAACGTCAGTTAAGGAGAACACACATATTTCATCACAAGGATGGCAGCAGACAAAATACCTCCCAGGCTTCTCTAACCAACTGAATGATGAGTCCCAGCACTAACAGGACAGACTCACTGCCCACGCTGCATGACATCTGGTGGTTTTTCCCACCCTTTGCTCTTCAGAGCTAAAAGCCATTTCTCCCTCCCTCTGTCCTTGGCTTTTAAAGTACATCTTGCTGCCCAGGAGCGAGTCCATCAATGCAGAGGGAGAAGAATGCTGAAAAGGTTAATCCCGGCTGTGTTCCCCCCCTCCTCCAATTAGCACTGCAGCTTGTGGAGGAGGACAGAGGAGCAGGGGGGGACGCGTGTGCTTACAGCACTTTAAATATCGACCCCAGGCACCAGGCTGCCCTGCACAGCTGCTCCCGGTGGCCTGAGCTGGCCCCAAGCTCTTTGTTCCCTGGCGAAGTACAACCACAAGCACGCAGTTCTCCTCTTTTTTTTTTTTTTGTATTTTTAAAGGATACAACTCCATCAAAATTTTCCCTGCACCAGTCCAAAATTTGTTTTAAGCGCGTTCTGTGCTGTCCGCCTGCCTGGCTTTCACCAATCAGAGCAGAGTAAGTGGCAAAGAGGACTCCTTCTGAGGTAGCTGTGTCACCGTATTTAATCTGCAGAAAGAAGAAGGAACAGGAGTGCAGGTGCTTGTGACACTCGTCCGCAGTGCACCACCCCCAGCCACTGTCCACAGCCAGCACCGCTGCTTCTGCTGTGGCTGTGGAGGGCACACGCTCCTGCCTGCAGGGACAAAACCCAACATGACAGCAGAACAGACAAAAGCCTGCTGGTAGCTGACATCTTTAGCACTTCTGCTTGGCACTGAGACACGGTGATGACAGGGACTTTAAATGCCTGGCTAAGCTCCCCTGCCAACGTGTCAGCACATCTGGATGCACGCAGTGCAAGGTGGAGACCACACCAGGACTTCAATTTTCTGGCCGAGTGAAGCTGCTTCCTTTTCTCAGCAACAGTTTGGAATGTTTAATTATTTTTAATACCTCCCATCTATTTTAATTGCTTCTAGAAAACAATTCTCTCTTTGGCCAGGTGAGATTGCTGCCTTACTGTCCTGGGTCTCACCTGTATCAAAATAAAAAGCAGGAAGGCAAACAAATAAAACAAGGGCCTGATCTGAAGAAAGTTCTATTTAAAGGCCGTTGGTCTGAAAACAAGCATCTCTTTCAGCCTCTTAATGGACTGCATTCAGAGGTGTCAAATACATGTGGTTTCCATTGACTGAAGAGCTGGCTGTTCAACACCACTGAAAACCAGAGGAGAACGTCTCAGAGAACCGGGCGGCCAGGTGGCAAGCACAAGCCTGGGCAAGAGGCTAACGCACGGGTGATGAAGAGCCCTGCAAATAACCACGACACAGCTGCTGGCCGGTTCTTTGAAATATACTTCGTGCTCATTGCTGGTAACTGGGAGGAAGTCTGACAATTCGGATCCAAGCAGCTTGGGGGAAGTGCTCCTGCATTTGGCTCAGCACCGTGCACCTCGAGTCCCCTGCCAGGCACCGAGCTGTGCGCTCGTGTGGGCTCCCCCTTTCCTCGCATATTTTGAAAAGCAAAAGCCCTGAAACCAACCCTGGGAGGTGTTAGCCCACGAGAGCACAGCACAGCCACACCTAGCAGGGGCTCTTCCCTCTGCAGGAACGGTGAAAAGGGCTCGAGCCCTTGTATGGAGACACATCCTGCTCCCTGGGGAAAACAGATCCGTACTCGCAGCACAGCTCTGGAGAGCGTACAAAAATAGCAAGAGTCCAGGCTGGGAAGAGCACGCTGAGAAAAGGGAACAGCAAGCAGCTTGCAGCCTGTTATCGCCTGTGCCACCAGCCACGCAGAGGCAGAAGTGACTGCTGCTTTACATCCATCTAACTGCTGCTGTGGGCTGATTTTCCAGAACAGCATTACGACTTTGCTCCCCTACCTTATTCAAAGCATGCACAGGAATGTGGGAGGCTTCAATGTCCTTCAGGTCTCTCTCAGCATCATACTTGAGATCATTGGAGACGCTGAACCTGTAAAGCAAGGCGTGGGCCTGGTTATCTCCTAAGGAGACAGTCGGGGCATGCACGGTGATTAATAGCTCTGACTAAAGCAACTGTAGGTGTACAGAACTGTTATATTTCCAACTGCCCACACACCTCAGTGCAAGATCCTACAGCAGACTCCGGTCTGGCACTTATGACAAGTGGTGTCTATCCTGCAGTAAAGCCCCATGCTCCAGGGGCTCAAGCCTGCACCTGGGAAGTCCTGAGACACCCCTCCAGCGACTCCAACGAGAGCAGGAAGAGGCTCAGCCCTGCACTCCGAGGGTACAAATTTTGCCGTTTCATAGTGATTCATCCTCTGCCACTGCTGCAGGGGAAAGATTCCCATTTCACGGCTAGCAAACAGGCACAAAGAGGTGGAAACGTCTTACCCAAGGCCACAGCATGAGTCAACTATAAAGCCAACATCAGCACTAAGGAATTCCTTACTCCAAGTTTCAAACTAACTCCAAGGTCTTACGGGAAAAGAGGAAAAAAAAAGAAAACAACTTACCACAGAGCTTTTTTCCTCCCTTTAAGATAATTTTCAAAGATGATGCCCGCAACCGTCCTGCCCTTTCCAACTCCAGCACCGTCCCCAATGAGGAACCCAGCTCGCTGCCCATTGGGTAATAAAACTTCGTGTTGCTGCAAAATCAATGAGCGGAATTGGAAATTAATCAAGATTTGCCTTTTGCCAGCAACTTTCATGTGAGCTTAGAGCAACATGTAACCCTTTCACCTATCTCTTGGATATGCATTTCCTGCTCAGATAAACACCACCAGGACAGGACAGGTGTCGTGGCTGAGCTCACAAGTGGCAGTTCATGGAACAGGCCCCCAGAAATGTTAAGCACTCCCTCCTGCAACAACAGTCAAGAGCTCTTGCATCCGTGGGAAGCAGACCCCACAGGTCATGAAACCCCGTTTTCAAATAATCCTTTCAAAAAGCATTTAAAATGCCATATGCTGACGCTTCCAAAGGTTCATCACCTGTGTTACAGGTTATTTTAAAACTCAGCTCAACATCTCCTGTACAAAACAGTTTATTTCTAGTCTCAGACACGCAAGCTGGAGGTGGAGCCACATACCTGGCAGGCATAAATGATTGCTTCCAGCTGTAGTGCAGAGAGTGACCCTTTGTCGGCAACAGAGCAAGGCAGGGAAAGGCTGTAGGTGATGTCGGGTGGGGGGACGCTGGACAGAGTGCTCGTTTCAACCACGAGGTCAGGGTGGTGCTTCCCAATCTTGGCTAAATGACAACACACAAACCAGATAACAAGTTCTTCATTCCCATGGAGCACCTCAGAAAGAACCGCATGCCTCACTCAGCCTGCAGCCTGACTACGAAAGAGTCTCATTCAGTCTGCAGCCTCAGGAACACAAGAGACAAGCCCAACCCTTGCTGCTCCCCTCTCTCTTTCGTTCCACTGAAATTTCAGACTGCCAAAACCAAGCCATGCCTACCCTAGGCTGCTCCATGCCATACCTAGGCTGGTCCACAGTGGAGTTAACGTTAACAGCCCTTCCCATGCCCATGCAATACCAAGACACTCACACTTTGAAGGTATGTATTCTGCATAGGTCTCCGTTTGTCCCAACTCTTCTGTTTCTTCCTCATCACCTTCATCATCCTCCTCTGCAGGAGCCTGAGACTGAAAAGAAACACAGCGTTGAGCAAATGTTAATGTTCTCACTTAGCTACGGATGCAGTGCCAGAAGCTACCATTTAATCCATCCCAACACAACTTCACAACCCCTTCGGATACAATTAATCTCATTTATAGACTCCAGCAACAAAGGAAAACCAGCGTCGAGAGCCCACCCCAGAGTCCCAGCGAGTGCTCTAAGAGCTACTTCCAGGGCCTAGTCCACACCGAATTAGGAAAATTACATCACTTTTCAGACGGGCTGTGGGGTAGCATGAATTCTGCCCAACCGTGCTCTACCTGGACCAGCTTTCAGCTCAGCTTGGTACTTGGCAGTGCAAAGCGAAGCACGCGTTCCAGGAAGAACGGCCCCTACAGACTGCTGATGTAGCTGTACAGGAGGCACTGCCCCTGGAGGGAACGTGGTCAGGGTCGCTGTTCCCTGCACTGTGTCGGTACTGAGTTCAGAGCCCGGTGTGCGGTTCTGCTGGAGCACATTGCGGTTCTCACCTGGTAGCTTATGAGGAGCGGGGTGTTGGGGACAGCAGGAACGGGGTCGTTGGAGCTGTTCAAGCCGCCAAATGATCTGCTGGGTGAGAACAGCTGGAACAGAAAGGACACAGGTCAGAGAGCACCCGTAACCCTCAGCCCTCCAGCCTCAGCTCCAGCAATTAACGCATGAAAACACAACAACAGCGAGGACACTTGTGCTCTGTGCTCAGACCTTACACTCCGGTGACGTCAATGGGCTGTAATACTTTCTGTTTGTGAATGACAAGCCCTGGGGAGTAATTCTGGAAACTAATAAATCTTGCAAATGCCCCACATGCCTTCGTCAACACAAACACAGGGAATAATTGACGAAGGTAAAAGCATTCCTGCAAGAAGCATGAAGGTTTTGGGTGTCCCCGTGTGAGATGAAAGCCTGCAGAGACGCGTGTCCTCCTGCAGCATGAACAGGACTGGGACAGGAGTCCTTCTGCCAGGGCTGTAACAACTGCTGCCACTAAGACAGGTCACCCCAAACACTCCACGTTGCCCTCAAACCTGGGACCTCAGGCAGAAGCCCCCCTTTCAGCCAGCTCACACTCGCACCAAGAGGTTACCTGCGCAAACACTGCCGCACTCAAAGTACGGCCAAGGAGATCCAAGCAGGGGCGATGGGAGGGACTGAACATTCCAGCAGAACCCCGACATTTTACGACCTTACAAAGTGCCCTTGAGGCAGGCATTTACTCACCAGTTTTGCAATTGTGCTTTTACATTAAAAAAGCTGCTCGAAGTAATTAAGCAGCCGCACCAGATGGCAGCACATGGCTCAGCACTGGCTCTGCCAGGTTAAGGACTGCCGCCACCACCACCACAGGGGGTTCACCTCACACCAGTGGGGACCAGCACCCCGGCAGCACAGATCCTGGCCACGAAGCCCAGGTCCCAAAGGGTGCCGGGGCCCAGCAGAGCAGCGCCAGGCTGCCGCCACGGCCGTGGTGCTTGGGGCGGGTGCCGGTGCCCGCAGGCGCCAGGCGCTGCGCCGGGTTAATGATTGCCCGGGTCCGGCCAGCCCGCCGCACCGCAGCCGCTTGCAGCGCCCGAGCCGGGAAGGCACAATTGAGGAGAGCCTTTGTCTGCCCCCACACAAACAAAATCGCCCTGGAATTTCCCGGCAGCGAGCAAGGTCAAGCCAGCAGCTCATGGCATCCAAAGCAATCGGCCACTCCAAAAGCGGCACCGCTTCAACTTCACAGCCTGTCAAGAGTGCCAGACTCGAAGAGACCTATGCTCCACAGGCAGAAGTGAAAAATGGGAAGTTCTTAAGCATAAACACTCTGATGATTTCCTTTTTTTAAAAAATTAAAAAGAAAAAAAAAAAGAAGAAAGAAAAAAACACCCTCCATTACTGGAAGCCTGAGTCAGAATTACCAGAAGGAAGCTGGACGGAAGAGCTATTTTCAGTGCCAACAAATCTGGAGAGCAGGTGAAATATCTCCACCTACAAATCTGAGCTCAATACCAAAGTTTCTTCTTAGGCAATAAAAGGTCCGGCTCCTGCTGGATCGGGGGACACGCAGCTCTGGCAGCGGGAGGTTTGGGTAGCTCTGGTTTTGCATCTGGAGAACACGAACCCCTGCCGTCCCCGTTCAGCAACGCGGCTTTGGCACACGGCTTTTCGCCTCAGGTGTTACAAGGAAAAGGACAGAGACCCGGTGGTTTGGGGCACTGGAAAACGGACCCCACAGCTGGGGATATGCTGCGAGGACCAGTCCAGGTGGGGCCAGGGGCTGCACCGGGCAATAAATCACCTCGCTGCAGACTGAGCTCACACAGCTCCTGCCTTTCTCTGCTCCCGCTCACCTCACAGCCCAATTTTCTCCTTTTTAGGTGAGGTACCTAAAATCATTAACCTAGGAGTACACCGTGCGTGAGAACGCTGGGATGGAGCAGGAGCTGGACTCACTCTGTAAAGCTGCTGACAAGCACACTGAGACTTGCTCTCACTCCACTTTCTTCCTCTTTGCATTGTTCTGCCTTTACCCCATCTCGCTGTGACTTCCAAGGGAAATGAGCAGTCCCATTTGGCTGGCGAGCCAGCTCCTCCCAGCAGAAAGACAATCCCTAGGACTGAGCTAGGAGAAGGGTGTTCACTGATCCGAAGGGCTATGAATGAGTTAGGCTGAGAAAGACGCGTCCACGGGTCACCCAAATTGGAGCTCCGAGCTTTCAGACCAGGGCTTTGTTTCCCTGACCTAACAAGGCTGGGAAATCTCATGAGATGGTTGTGAGAAAGCACAACGGACCACCCCAACTATTTTTATAAAGGTGTTTCACAACTTCATCTCAAATGAAGCAAGCGTGTTTTGTCTGCTAACTCCTGCACATGTTTAGCTCTGTGGTAGCTCTTCCCTCCGTGCCCACTTCGCAATTAACGCATGGAGACGAGGCGCTGAACGCCTCTCCCCTGGGTCTGGCTGCCAGCTCTCCCAGCACGGGCACACGAAGGCAGCTCAGAGCCCGGTGGTTTCCTCTTGGGTCGCCAACACTCCGCCCAAAGCTTCAGCCCTGGGCACTCGAGATAAGAGTCCCTCGGTGAGCATGAAACGTTCCAGCAGCAATCGAGCCGCGATGCTTTCCTCCTTCTCCGTCCCCCTGCAGCACAACTCAGTGCTAACGACAGCTGACAAAGGGGGCAAAGCTAAAATACAGACACGGTCTTTTCCATAACGTGTCTTCAAATTGCTGCATGACACAAAACACATGGGTGTTTTTTGGGTTGTTTTTAACGAGGACAAGCCACGAGGCCGTTCTTGTACCCGGGATCAATAGGGGGTCTCCATGCAGGATGCCCCCAATGCGCTTAGGAGACATCCCGGTTATCGGAGCCCTTCAGAGGTCGCTGCCTCTGCTCCGTGTGAATCTGAGACTGAAATTCTGTCTCAGGAACTTATCTGCTGTCCTGACAGCAGAGAGCAAGGCCTCCCATTGTTCCTGGGCAGAGCTGGCTGTACAGCCACGGCTGATAAGATGTACTGGAGCAAAACGGACGAGGACTGCATCCGCCCGGGCTGCGTACAGTGAAACCTGACTCACGTTCAGCCCCGTACTGCAGATCAACTGCCAAAATTCCTGGCATCTTACGGAGAATTACGGTGGCACGATGATGTGGGAAGGGGCAGGGAAAGACTGGATAAATTGCTTGTATGTTGGTGCAAGACATCAGCCGGGTCCGAACATTATAATCAGGAACCTTTTACTTTTTTGCCCCAAATCATTTGCTTGCCTCCTTTAACAAAAAAAAACAAGAGTATTTTTTTTTAAAAAGATAATAATTCAGTTGCCAATCAATGAAGCTAACTATCCCTTTATCTGCCTTCCTGCAAGTTCCCACCTCCCATGCAAAAATGAAACTGAAATCTCCAGCCTGGGATAGCCTTCAGCGACATCTCGTCAGGAAATGTCAGGCTCAGCGAAAATAAACAAAAAGCAAAACACAAACAGCAACCTCTGTGTTCAGAAGGCACTGATAAGACAACTGTTTAAAATAGCTGGTGATTCTTTTCAGAAGGAAGTTGTTTATAAATGGAATTCAAAGGAGCTGATTGGCCTTATCTGAACCTAAGAGCTCCGAAGGACAGCGAGTGGCACCGGCAGGGCTCCCGGTAGAAGACAGGGGGTGAAGGACAGCGCCCAGGGGAGCGCCCAACCTGCCACTGAGCTGCTCAGTGGTATCGTTTCAAAGCAGAACTGCTGCCAGGGCTCTTATTTCCAGACTGTGACAAACAGCCAGCTTTCATCATGGAAACACCGAGTCCAAGTCATCACTAAGAGCAAAAAGCAGCCTTTAAAAACAGAACCAAACCTCAAAATGCAACAGTGACTAAAGCACAGGTGTGCTGGATTGCATTCTGGAGCTTTCACGTTGACTTTTTCCCCCACAATGTTCGTAAGACAATGACCTACAAAGGAAACCTGCTGCAGGGCTGGATCTTCACCACGACAGCTGAGATCTCGAGGCTGAGCAGATGTGTACGGTATCAGTTCCACCACCAGCCACAGCTGGCGGCTACCAGTAGGGACTGATACCAGGTTGTGCAACAGTGAGTAAGCAGTCCCAATAGATGAGGGGAAATAACAGCAGAAGGCTGGTAAAAATGCACAGAACCTCCTGTTGCTCTCAGCCTGCCGGGAGATCACATGCCCAGGAGATGTAAAAGCTTGCAGGGACTTGGACTCACAAAGTAAACACAAATGATTAGTCTCAAATTGAGACAGTTTGGTTTTTAGTCATTGTTAGTAAAATATTTGCCGTGGAGAATAAACATACATTGGATGCTGCTGGGGACAGTTAACAAGCTACAGCACTGCGTTTTCCTCGAGTCCAGCTCTTCAACACTCCTGAGCTCAACAGCATGGGATGAAGCCCGAGGTTTTTATTGTCTGATGGGGAGGATGGAAGAGGAAGCATCCTGTACCTCTATTTGGTTCTGCTGCGACGTGTTTACATCCCATAGTGTTGGCACGTGGTTCAGGCTGTCCGTGGGCAAGAAGTCCTTCGGATCCGCGATGTCAGAGAGGGAATCCGCAGGGGATGAGAAGAGGGAGTTGTTGTTGGAAAGCTCGTCGAGGTATGAAGCATCCTGAAAGGGAAGAGATGCCCACAGTTAGAGGAGGCAGGAAGAAGAGCAGAGAGCTCCTTTCTCGCTCCTACTCCTCCAGAAAGTTTGAATTTCTCACCGTTAACCGAGCAGCTCTGTTCCTTCATGCTCACAGATCTCAGAAACTAACTTGCAAACAGACACATGGACACATGTTCTGAGCAGCTGTGTAAAAATCTCAGTTACCTGATGAAGTAGGAAACACTGCCCTGTGCACTCAGGATTCACTCAGACCGTGTACACCTCCCCGTACATTCCTCAGGACATCAGTCACCTCAACCTCGTGTGCGATTTACGTGGCTGCAGGAGGGTGAAAACTCACCTGTCCGGCACCCAAAAGACTCGGGCACTCCATGCATCCACAAAAGCCCCCAGAGAACCAGCTCCACCCGACGGTGCCAGGGCTGTTCAATCGCAGCTGATGGCACAGCAGTGCCTGGAGGCTTCGGGGATCATTACAGCCTCCTACAGGTTCTGCACAGCCAGGGCTGCCAGGAGCAGGGGCGCAGGAGCGCTGCTGTCACCCGCGTTTGCATCCGGATAAATCTTGGCAAATCCAGCAGCCCTCTTCCCAGGACATGCCTCAAGCTGAGCAAGAAGCGAACGTGCCCCAGGGACAAGGGTCAGGCTCTGCCCCTGCCCGTTTTCCACTGCGGAGGCAGCTCACCATTGTTTTATTTCGTGCCGACCGGCGGTGACGCCGATTTGAGTCATGACGGCTCCAGCTCACAAAGCGCCCTCAGTCCCCTCCCCACCATCAGCTCATCATTTGGCTTTGCCAATTTCAGGTGGCAAGAACCGGCAGCCCGAAGCACTTTTACCTTCCGCCCTCAAACTCCGGCACAGATCCCTGCACCTCCCTGACTCCACCTCGCCAGCTCAGCCCCCCGGCACATCACACACCACGTTCGGGCTGGCAGAAAAAGTTTGTGCACTGCTCACTGAGGGGCTTCCTTCGCCACGCCGAGAGCCAAACCAGTGTGATAATGCCGCAGCACGGCTGCCAGGACAGCCACGGTGTCAGCTACGAGCAGAAATCACTGTTCATTTCCAGTTAAAGGCCATTTCCTACTACAAAGCAGAAAGGCAGCCAACGATTTTAAAAGTCACTTAGCCCTGCCTGACAAAATCAGGAGCAGCTGAGCCTGCTTGTGTTATCCCTCAGGGCTTCTGGCCAAGGGCTGGGGCAGGCTCTCTCCTGCCTGCTATCAGAAGTTAGGTTTTTGCAGTGTTTAAAGCCATCAGGACGTGTTCCTTCCACCTCCTTGCCAGCCACGTTTGGCCCCCGAGAAGTCAGTCGCTGCTCTGAAGCCGTAGGTGCAGGAGCTGGCAGCTGCAACAAAGGCAGGCAACAAGAGAGACTGCAGGAGAGAGGTGTAAACCTCCGAGTCATCAAATATCAACTGGGGAGACCCACGGGCTCGAGGAGAAAGGGCTGTTTGTTAGGCTGTGCTCCAGGCAGGGCACTCCCTGCCCATCGACAGCCGGGCAGCGCTTCCCGTGCAGCTCTTACTCTCGGTATTTTGGCACCTATTTTAGGGTTTACCCAGAATCCGAGGTTTTTAGAGACAGCAGCACACACACCAAGGCTGGAAATAAGTGATTTCGGAGCAACTTTTCTTCCCATTCTCAGGCTCAAAATTCAGGGGCAGGATGGGGTTGTTTTTTCATTCATTCCAAAAAATTCTGCCAGGTGGATCCATCTGGGCATCCACCAGACAACACCTCACTCGAGGAGCATCAGAGAGGGACGCGCCAGGCTGGGACAGCGTCGGGGTGAGCTGTAAGAGCCCGAGGCAGCCCGGCACCGCGCTCCCTGGCTCCCTGCTGGCCCCACACGAGCCCCGTGACAGCTCCAGCCCCGCTCCCCGGCCTGAAATAAAGAAGAGGAATTCAGCCTGCAAGTCAGAGGGAGATAAAACCAGCCCTGGAAAAGACTTCAGCGAGTCCGTCCCCTTGCAGTATGACAAGGCGTTAGTCACAGGCTTTCAGAGCCCCCTGTTTGTCTCACCCCATTACTGAATTACCTCCAGAGCACTGAAACTCGTAACGTGCCACATCCCTGCCCTGCAGAGCTTCCAGCACAGCCCCAACAAATTAGCCTTGTTTAACTACAAAACGCGGTGTAATTAATTTAATGCCACGCTGATAGCTACGATCCGTGTCATTGCAAACCCTGCCTTGACTAATGACTCCACGGGCTTATGTGGAGCAAATTGGAGTCACCAGACTTCGCAGGAGGGGAAGGATCACCGCCCAAATCTCCAGCACTGAAACAGGGAGCCCAAAACCACCCCTTCCCAGGGGCACAACGCCGCTGACACCCCGACGCGTGGTCCCAAACCTCTGATGTGCTCGAGAAGGGATCGCTCCGGGGACACGGCTGGCTTCAGGATTTGGAGTGAGTTATTCCATCCCTGCTTAAGGCTGATTAGTAAGAGCTTTTTTTTTTTTCCTCCTTAGAAATAAGAGGATTTTATAGCAGTAGCACTTATTTTATGTCTCAGTGTAAATGTAATTGCTGTAACAGAAGGAAGTTATCCTGCGAGGCTGGATCTTTATCTCAAATGATAATCCACAGCAATCCTCTGCGAATGACTGATTCTTGAAATTAGGCCCTATCTATTTGGGGTGGGCTTTATTTTTTTTCCCTTTCCCATTTTGCACAGCCAACCAAAATCCAGCCCTCATGCTGCAGATCGCCCTTGGCACAAGAGTTACCGGCAGAGGCCACCTTCGCCTCCCATCTCCCACGCCTGCTCCGTGACTGGAAGATCTTAAAGGTCCTTTCCAGCCTTCGTGATTCTCTGATTTTATGATTCTCGTGCTCCTCTGTGCCAGGACACAAACGCCCGAGCTGAGGGCGCCGAGCCCTGCCCCGCGGCTCTCCGCGCAGACTTTTCCCCGTTTCTCCTGTCACGGAGACCTCGAGGGCTGCTCTCGTGAAAGCAGCTCAGAACTAACGGCTCGTGTCAGGGATGGAGTCACAGCAGCACATCATAAGGCGGTGACAGGGCGATTCCTTTACAGCAGGGTGAGCGCTTAATGGAGAATTTTATTAGGGGTCAGCAGCGGCCGACGCAGAGGCTACGCGCAGCTGGTGGCCGTGGGGCTCGCCAGCGCTTCTGTCCATCGTGTTCTAATACGATCAATAAACCAGAGCAGCAGGCAAATGATCACAAATCACTGCCTGATCTCCATACCAGGAGATGCTCTAGTGAGTAGCTCAATAAATCAATGATAACGATAATTTGCTGAACTTCTAAATTGAATGCAAAATAATTGCCAACCGATGCTGCTACGGCACACGACGTTTCTATCGTTACCCCAAACCAGAGGTTAGCAGAGACAAGAATAAATTCCCTAGAAAAGATTGGGGCAATAAAACAATACAAACACTTAACCCCTTTCTCCCAACCACTAGATCAAGCCCAGCTCCTTTAGTCAAAGCAAAGTCTTTGTTAAAAATACCGAAAGAACAGGTGAAGCCTAAATACAGAAGCAGTGTGCATCCTAAAAATAATTTTGGCCATGAAGCCCTCACTATAAATGGTTTATTTGCTCACAATCCAGAACAATCTGGACACAGAGGAAACAAATATCCCTCCTGTGTAGCAGCTCCTGATTGCTTGCTCCAGCTGGTAGGAGCTTCAAAAGAAATCAGACAGACACAGGCACATGCAAATACACAGACACGATCAAAGCAGTGCCAGACGAGAAAGGTTCGGGTTCTCAGCAATCACAGGTTAACCAAGCTAGGTTTCAGATAAACAGAATAAGAAAATTAACAGCTACAACGTAAGCTATCAATCGTTAAAAGGAAATCTTTTAGCTGCCAAAACCCAAAGTCTCTAAATATGGGGCAATAAACTTGCAGTCTCAAGGGTTCAGTGCTCTGTCTTGCAAGCGTTTCCCTTGCTTTTCTGTACACGGCATCTGGTTTAAAAATAAAATTCCTGAAAGCCATTACAGCTACATAAACACGCAGATCAATTCTCCACACAGCCCCTTTTCCTCCAAGTTTCACAGTAAACAAGCCCCGACCGACAGGAGCAGGTTCCAAGTAACGCACGCACGTTTCGGAGAGGCACAAATCCCATCTCCAACACAGCAAATCTGCCCTCGCTGCCTGGCACCACGCAGCGCACCCCAAAAACTCTGCTGCCGTGGCAAAAAAAAAAACTAAGGGACATGCAAGCCCGGAGGGACAAACCAAACAAAACACAAACCAGGAATTCCAAGGAAGAGAAAAAATAAATCGATCCAGCATTACCTTGACCAGGGATCGGAACTTTAGCCAGAACTGCATTTCGGACATTTTAAAGCAGCATGCAGCGTGTCGGCAGCGCAGGGCACGGCTGAAGCAGGACGGCGAGCTTTCTCAGTGTGCAGGGCAGGAAGGTCTTCATTCATGACAGCGACAGCAGCAACAGCCAGAAAGAGAGCTCATCAAGGGTTTTTAAAAATTAACATGCAGAAGAAAGGAGTGAAAATGGAGGAAAAAAGGACAGCCATCCAGTGCGTCTGTCCTGAGCCCGTGGAAATTTGCATATGCTGTTTAGTCATGAAGGAGAGTGCTCTTACTTCCTCTAAGTACGAGGGCTGACTTTCAGGAAATGATGCCTGCTTGGTAAGTCAGTGAAATTACTGGCAGTGCGATGAGAATTACTGTATGTGGTGTAATTCAACCACAGATGCACTGTAAACAAAGCTGCGCTCCGCGGCAGGACCTGGCCCTGCAGGGACACGGCCACCCGCTGCCACCTCGGCCCCTTCCCCAAGCGCAGAAAACACCCCAGCACCTCCTGCCCCGGGGGTTTGGGGGGGCTCGAGGTGACATAATGAAGCCGAAAAGGTCCCGAGCAGCACCTTTTCCTTTCCTTTTTCTTAAATAAGGAGCCACGTGCTTTCTTTTGTCTTTAGGATCTGCCCCACCCCAACTCCCACGATAACAAAATGGGCAGGGGCAGGGGCAGGGGCACGCTGCCTCCCTGCTGCCTCCCTGCTGCACATCGCTGCTACCTCTGCGCCCACAACCCCTGCCTTCTTTTCCCAAGGGCTTCCCTTTTAAAGTTTATTCTAAAGTTTTGGTTAAAATAAAAATAAAAATGGGGGTGGGGAGCAAAATTTCTGGTGGGGAAAAGAAAGGCACAGAAAGGGGTCAGCTGGAAGGGCTTCGTTCCCTGCCAGTTCAAGGAGTCTGCTCCACTGCCAGAGGTGGGAGAAGTGACTTTGCCCAAGCGCTGCCCTGCAGAAAAACTAAAACTTCCCTGCCAGGTTTTGGTGCAGAAGCTCCCCGTGAGCTCTCCCCAGCACAGCCAGCAGCAGCGCCCTGGTGCCGCTGTCACCGCTGGCTCCCGGGGCTCCGTGCCCAGGGCTGCTGGAAAACCCCAGGGTGCGAGAGGGTGCGAGGCGCTCGGCAAAAAACAGAAGTTCAGCAAGAGAAGGCAGCGAAGCCCCCAGCAGGAGCCAAGAGCAGTGTCTGAGGACTACATGTGGAGCTTTGCAGCCCCTCTGAGACCCCAGGGAAGCGAGCAGGGGGGCGGTTTTGCTTCGTGCCATGGGATGAGGAGCGAGCACTGCCCTTGGAGACCCCTGCGAGAAAAGCACACGGCCCCCGGGGCTGCACCAGCACCCGCAGGATGCAGCCCTTGCAAACAGGGCAGCTGGGGCCCGCAGGGCTGAACACACCAAAACCCCTCAGTCACGAGGATCCAGGCTCCATCAGACCAACCGCCCAGTCCACAGGTCCCACCCCTTCCCGAGAAGCAAAAGGGAAAGAAAAAAGCAAAAGGGAAAGCAAAAAGCAAAAAGCCCTTCCCCAGGCACTGCGGAGCTCCCGGGGCACAGCGCGGTGCTGAGCGACTGCAGGAACCGGGGTGAAAACGAAGCGCTTGGTTTCTGTGGGCAGCTGCTTTGGGGTGGAGGTGGCAGCAGGCTTTCACTGCTGCTCGGAGCTGGCTCTGATTGTCTTTGAGTAGCTGGTGGTGCCCTGGAGCTTGGGACAGGTGCTTTAATGGCACGTTGGAAGCGAGGAGACCAAACACATTTCTGAAACGTCTTAATTAGCGACCTGCTGGTGACTGACTCGTGGTGTGACCTGGATTACACCACCACTGTCTGCCTAAGACTAAGGTCTTGTTATTTCTGTAGCCTTTAAAAAGCAGGGGACTTCTTCCTTCTTCCTTTTCTCTTAGTAGACAAATGGGGCAAAATGCAGGCAGCAAACCTGGGACATCATCAAAAGGAAGACAGGTGACATCGCCGTAGGTACCGGGACTGCCAAATTGATTTTGCAATACCACAGCAATATAATCACAGGAGATAAGATCCCTACCGAAAAACCACCACCCGGTATTTTAAGAACCCTTCCTTGGGGACAAGGCATGCCACGGCGTTTCCCCTCTCCACAATCAATCTGTGAACGTGCCTGCAGACAATCGGGGCAGGGAAGGGCTCACACCACCAGCTGGGCTTACCGGCATCCTGCAGAAACCACCACGTTAACCCCCCGCAGTGACCCCGCCGGGTCATCTGCACAGGTAATCAGCCACCGCCTTTTAATCACCGACCTACCAGGCAGCTTCCTGAACGTGCTGATGGTTTCCTGAAAGCATGCGCTGAACTTCTAGGAAAGCAGAGCACAGATCGATGTGGGATAGTGCCTCTGATCAGGAGGGCTGGGGGCTCGTGGCTGTCCCAACCAAAGGCTTTGGGGCTGAATTTCCTGCAGCACTTCGCTGCCTAAAGGTGCTGCGAACCGGCAGCTTCACGTGCCGGAGGGCAGTTCGAGCAGCAAAGAGGATATTTAAAAATAACAATAACATGAGACCAGGGAAATAAAAAAACAAAGAAACCATTCGTGTTGGAGGCAAACTTCTCACGGTGACTGCTGTGCTAGGACCAGCGGCGTTAGGGACAATTTGCAGAAGTGAGGGGTGTTTGAAAGAGCATTCGAGGCAGCCCCTTGGAGCAGAGGCCCCGGCGTGGTACCCGGAGGACACGCAGCCACCACCAGCACCACTGGAGACAGGGAAACTCGCTCCATCAGGCTGACTCAGACCAACTCTGCTTTGAATTAAAGCATCTATTTTAATGCATCTCCCAGTGGTCTGCTATTAAATTATATTACCAGCATTTTTCAAGAGCACTCCGTGTTTCAGACCAGCGCTTTTCCCGCTTTTGCTAGCTTTATGAAGGGAAGGAGGCAGAGAGCAGGGCTTGCCAAGAATTTCAGAGGGCAGTTTTCTGTTGCCTCCCATGCCTTCTCTCCTGCCTAGAAGGTGGGCACAGCAGCACTAGAAGCCAGCAAAGCAGATGAAAACGAACAAGCCTGGAAGGGAGGAGGCATCTGAGCCAGGTCCTCCTCCAGGACCTCGCACCCCTTCGCAGGGCTGGCAGCAAATGAGGTCCCAAAAGCAGAATTACTCACCCTTAACCACGGCTATCTCCACCTGAGGTACCCCAAGAGCTCCTGTTAGATACGGAGGAGGAGGATTTACTCCTAAAGCTCACCCGACGATGAGGAGAGGAGGCAGCCAAACCCCTGCTGATGCCGTCGGTGCACGAGGAGGTGAAGGCAGGCAGCGCCGGCACGGCTCTGAGCTGGGAAGCCCAGGCTGGGGCTCAGCCCTTTGCTGGCGGATCACCTCGTGGTGCTGTCTGGTGTGGAATCACCCAGGCACCCTGCAGGAGGGGAGCCACCCAGCAGCAGACAAACACCATGCCACGGCCCCAGCACGGCAGAGCCACGCCGCCCTAATCCCCACCTCTGCTTCTCTAAACCACGGCACTCGGTGTTAGGCACCTCACCGGGAGAGTTTTTCAGGAGTAATTAGGTCAGACCAGAAGCCCAGCCCTGGAGTAGGAAAACAAAGAGGTGAGCGTGTACAGCACCTTGTTCACAGGGCTTCGGAGGCACCAGAGCCCGTTAATTGGCTGCTAATTGATTTCACTCTCTGTATTCCCCATAGACAGCACGCCAGGACAGCGATAGGAAATTCCAGGTGGTTTCTTATTCCAGGAAACTCTTCATCTCGGTCAGAACCGAGTCCTTCTTATAATTTAATAACTGGTGCATTGATTTCTCTTAAATCACCACAGCTCTGTGCGCTGAAGCACTTTTAAAAATTAATACTTTTGTTTAAGAGCAGGTTAATTCCCCCCTTCCTTTAACAAGAAGGATTAATAGGAGATTGCAAGGGGGTGGTAGCGGGTCGAGGGCTGGTGTATGGTTAACGCGTGGCCAAGAGCCCCCACACGCCACGAGCTGCCTGAAAGGGATCCCACGAGGCTTTGGCTGCACCTTACAGCACCCTGCAAAGGGCTCGACCCTACAGCAGCCAACTCCTGCCTGACCCCACAGCCTGGACCAGGGCTGAGCTCCCTCCCTCAGGTTTCGGAGGGGAACCCGAGCTCCCTGCCAGAGCAGCTGCACGTTGAGTGCTTCCCTGTGCAAGGAAGGGACAAGCAAAGGGGAGGACGAGCCCTGGGGGGGCTCCCTCGCGGGGCTGCCGTGCCCACCAGGAGCTGCTCAGCCCTGCTGCGGGAAGGGCAGCTCGGTTTTCAGTGGAACTCAGCAAAAATGCAGTCAGCAGAGGAGCCTCCGCGTTCAGAAAGGTCCTGGGCTGGACAGACGTCGGGAACAAGCTGGGTGAAATTAGGCAAACAAAAAAGGGCTCCGAGGAAACGGGCAGAGCCACGTGCTTTGAGTGACTCTAGGCAGGACAGAACAGGGAAGCTTAGAGAAAAACCTGCGGGGGCTGAGCAGCATTTAAGCGCCGGGCATGCTTTTCTACAACAGCTCGCTCTGCTCTGTGATAAGGCTCGGTGCTCACACCGCGGTTAACGGGCACTGGCCCGGGGACACCAGATGCCAGGGCACGAACTGAAACTTCCCGGATTTGGAGCTCTGTTGTGGCAACCAACAGCCCCGAGATAAGGCTGCTGTGATAGAAATGCCTTCGCAACACATCAGCAGGGGGCTCAGCGGCACCTCCAGCCCGCAGGCTGTGAGGCCA